TCCATCCATCCTTCTAATCCTTCGATCATGTGTTCATCCATATCCTTCCCAGGCAACACTCAGCCGATTTGGTTCCCTCACTCCATTTCCATTACCTCACCAGGCATGAAGTGACAATTCCTGGTCTTGGGGTGAAACTTGTTAGAACTTGGGCTAGCCCTGTTGCTCCCCCATTTCCTGCACACCCTGGAATGATACATGGCTGTATTTTACTTACATCAGAGTTGCCTCCAGATTCCCTTCTGCAACTGGTGCAGGCTGACTGCCCACCAAAGTCTCTCTGTGTGGTTCCATCTAATTGGGGAGTTTATAGCTGGGGCCTTTGGGATCAAGGTTTGCTCCCTTGAGAATCCAAAGTTCCTGGAGCTGAGATGGGATTGGAATAAACAATGTTCAGTAGTTATTTTCTGTTGAGGAACACTTAAGCTTTCTAGAGAGAATACATTTAATTTATTATTAATGTTACTGTCATTAGGGACTGTGTGTGCATGTGTGTGCGTGTGTGTGCGTGTATGTGTGTGTGTGTGTGTGTGGTATGTTGCCTTCTTAAAGAACAACTTTTAAAAAATTTTCCTGGTTTGGAATCAGGTTGAGCATCTTTTTATAGGTCTAAGAATCTGTTTCAGTCTAGAAAAAGAAAANGTGTGTGTGTGTGTGTGGTGTGTTGCCTTCTTAAAGAACAACTTTTAAAAAATTTTCCTGGTTTGGAATCAGGTTGAGCATCTTTTTATAGGTCTAAGAATCTGTTTCAGTCTAGAAAAAGAAAATAAAGTAAATTGAGGGCAGATGGTCCCTAGCATGACAAGGAGCATTATTACTATTTGGGAATATTTTATATTATCACTTTAACTATTGTTTATTTATTTAAAGAAAGAATTTATTCGTGATTCTTCCCCCCCCCCCCAAAAAATGTATGCATTTCAAAAATCAGCCCTGAATAAAGACAGCTTTCTTCCAGTTGTGCCTTACAGCCATAGTATTTCAGATAACAGTCTGTGGACTAAGGCTGCTCACCACCACAGTCTAGATACTGAGCAGTTCCCAAGCCATAAGGGTAACGTGTATCGCCCTCTTATAGCCACCCACTCTTTCCTTTCTTCCCTTCCTCCACCCCTTGTCACTGCCTCACTCCATCCGTAACCTGTTAACCTGTCCTCCATTTCTAAAATATCGTCATTTCAAACATTCAAGAAGCATAAATTTAGAATAAAGAGGGTAACTAATGTCCAAAATTAGTCGTAACATCACATAAATGTGTTTTTTTAAGTGCTAGAGGATGTAACTAATAGGCGGAATATTAGGTAGAAATCATAATGGTCCAAGCCATACTATGCTTTCAAATAAGTTTATTTTACATTTGGGTTTATGCAATAATTGGAACAGAACATATGTGGAACCTCTTTTTAGACAATTTAGGGAACCTGTTAAAATGAATGGAAAATAATGAATGTCAGTTTTAAAATTAATTATATACAAAATTGGATTTTTCTGGTCTTTAAGAACATAGCTGAAATAGTGGAAACAACCAAGTACTTTGTAAAGCCCATGCATACTTCTTAATATTTTAAATAATCTCAACAAAGCCCTTCTTCACTAGTAGTATGAGATGTTTCTCAAACTGTACGCAAGGGGAAAATTAGTCCCAGGAGATGTTTCTATGTTTCCCACATTCTAGAACTTATCTGTTGAAAGAGGTAGCATTGCTTTAAGATGTGAACGTGTTTCCAATTTCAGAAACATTACACAGTGGTCAAATACCTCTCCTGGGTGCCTTGAGGTGCTGAATTTGAACCATTTGGGTCTAATCTAGAAGAACCTTTCCCCTACCACTTTTAGAGCTTCCTTCACTTCCTTATTTCTGAAACTGTAGATCAGGGGGTTCAACATGGGGATCATGATTCCATAACATATGGAAGCTAGTTTCATATTCTCCTGGAAATTGCTAGAATGAGGCTGTAGGTACATGTACGATAAGGTTGTATAGAAAATGGTGACTATTGTCAGGTGGGAGGCACAGGTGGAGAAGGCTTTTTTCCTCCCCGTGGTTGAAGACATCTTCAGGATGGCAACCACGATCGAGATGTAGGAAAAGATGACGACCAGCACAGTGGCCATCAAGTTAAATCCCACAAAGACAGCAAGTAGCATAACATTGATGTCAGTGTTGGAGCAAGAAAGGGCGAGAATTGGTGGAACATCACAGAAAAAGTGATTGATGGTATTAGATTTGCAGAAGGACAGGGAAAATGTAAAACCTGTGTGCACAGAAGCATTTAGGGAGCCCATGATGTATGAACCAGCTACCAAGTGGACGCAGACTCTTTGGGACATGACAACGGAATAGTGAAGTGGTTTGCAGATGGCCACGTAACGGTCCACCGCCATAGCAGCCAGGAGGTAACAGTCACTGGTCGCAAATATCGCATAAACCAATAATTGCATAACACAGCCCCTGAAGGATATCGATCTGTCTCCAACTATGAAGTTTTGCAGCATCTTGGGAGTGATAGAGGAGGTATAGCAGATATCAACAAAAGCCAAGTGTTGTAAGAAGAAGTACATGGATGTTTGAAGTCTGGAATCTGTCTTGATGAGCAGAATCATCCCGATATTACCCACCATAGAGGTCACATAGATGACTAGAAATACAACGAAGAGGGCGTATGGAAACTTGTATTGGGCACTGAGTCCTAGAAGAAAGAATTCAGTCACTTCAGAGCTATTTCCTTGTGTCATGGTTACCGAAAACCTAGAAAGGACCAAGAGGAGGGCAAAGAAAAGAAGGGAAATCTTTGTGACTTCTTGAAAGACGAAAGTGTCTTGCATTTTATGTCACTCTTTTTGAATTAGATTCTCAGGCAGACATTTACAAGAGGGTTTATTGCTTTGCAAATAGTTCTAGTTTCTTGATAAGAAGCAACCACATTAAAAGTGATAGGTGAGCCATGGGTTCATTTGCTAAATGGAGAAGATTTCATAGAAGACCGACCTCTAATATGTGTAATTCTAAGAAATATAGATTAAAACATGTTTTCACCATATTAACCAGGTATCCATATCTGTAAAACAATGTTAAAATACGACCTTCAACCCTTTCAACAACATAGAGCTTTTCTCATTCATTTATCAATTAATCCTGGTTCAGACTCCTGAAATTTGTCCATGTGGAAATAAAGCAAAATGCAAAGAAAAGGAATTGGTTAATCTAGGTAAAGTGTATGCCAGTGTTCCTTGTACTATAATTTTAATTATTATAAAGGTTTTATACTTAAAAATAAAAATCTAATGAAAATCACAGATAAATAGGAACGCTTTCCTACGGAAACAATGGAGAGAGTTTAGCAGCAAGAGTTGTGCACTAAAGATGCTTCTCAAGACTGTTATTGAGCAAAGAGGAATATAGTCACTGGAGAAAGTCTCAGAAGCATAGAGAAACCACGAGCTTAGGCAATGGTAGATGTGGAAAAATTGGAGCAGTGCAGGATAATAATATTGTCCATGGGGAAGTGATACACTAAAAATATCAGCTAATGCTGATACATTAGATTGGAGGGTTCATTAGGTTCATGGTATTCTAAAATTCTTGTACTTTAGACTTTTACTTATATGTATATATTTGCAATAATTACAAGAGATAATAATTTAAGTTTAGGGGAATAAATTTTAAAGTCAACCACTCTAAACAAACACAATAAAGGAGATGAAAAGAATAATAGAAAATATCAAGACAAATAGAAATCACCAGGGAAGGCATAGATAAGCCCAAATAAATTAGTAAGGAAAATAAATATAAATGGATTAAAACCATCATTAAAATTCAGAGACTGTCAAATTGGATTTTAAAAATGTTAATCAAGCCAAGTGAATATATAATAGAAAAAAGTGAAGAGAAATTAGACAACTAATGATTAAATAAATAATGGTATAGAAAAGAATAGAATATTATGCATTAGGGAAAATAAATCATGAGCACTACATTTCTTAACCCAAAGCTTAGAAACATAATGTTGAGGAAAAGAGCTATTGACTGTTTGATTACATTACATATACTAGCAGGACTTCAGTGGTATTGGTGATATTTTAAATCCATAGCTATTTGTTGGTTACAAGTGTTCATTGTATATTTTGTATTCCTTTTTGTAATTATTAACTATTTTTGTATGTATTTTACACTCTTAGGTTGCTGTTAAGCACAGGTTACAGACAGCAGCTCTCAGCAAGTCAAAATGCTGCCAGTTTTTTAAAATCAAAGCCACATCTCCTTTAAAAGATGTTCAAGAAACAAGAGTATTACTTTTTAGGGGTTAAAAGAGGTCAATTAAGTCCAAAGGAAAAAATTGAGCATCTCAGTTGTTAAAAACAATATTCATAGGCTTAGGGTCTAAAATGGTGAGTTAGTTATACCCACAGTCCTCAAGTTCAATTGCGATGGTGACTCTCTGTGACAAAACTCAGAGTTAATAGTGTCCAAAAGGAGATACAAGCCAAATGCTGTTTGACTTTAGAGGAAAGATCTCATATTGTTAGAAGGACCTTGTCAGGGGAACCTTCCTTGAAACAAGTAACTTCAAAATTGGTTCTAGAAATACGTTTGGGATTGTGTAAGGTGGAGATCTTTACAGCCAGGGAAGGCAACTCCAAACGGAGAAAGTACTTTAGGAAAGCTAAGGGCAAGAGGCAATAGGGACTCACGCTATATACAATTAAGGTGTGTTGCTCTAATTAGTAGCATTTTCTACATTAAATCACAACAGACTTTTCCTGTACCTCTTTNATATAGTAGCATTTTCTACATTAAATCACAACAGACTTTTCCTGTACCTCTTTCAGAGATATTCTGTCCCCCCCCGCCCCCGCTTTCATATTGAGATGCAACTGACATATAACAGTGTGTAACTATAAGGTGTGCAATGTGATAATTTGACACATGGATATATTGCAAAATGTTTACCATATTAAGGTTAGTTATCACATCCTTCACCTAACACAGTTACCATGTTGTTGTTATGGTGAGAACATTTAAACTCTACTCTTACAGCAACTTTCAAGTACACAGTACAGTACTGTTAACTATAGTCACCATGCTGTGCATTAGATCCACAGAACTGGATCTTATAACTGCATCTTATAACTGGAAGCTTGTAGCCTTTTATCAAGATCTTATATCCCCCGCCCTCCGGCCTCTGATCACCACCGTTCTGCTCAAAGGTATTCTTAAGTAAAGCCACTCTTGAGTCTAGACCTGACTTCTCCCTTTCCCAAAGTGTTAGCTGGTTCCTGAGCATGGGCAATATCCGAGGCATTGTTTTAGGTACCGAATATCCCAAGTGCTCCCCACTCGCCCTTCAGCAGCTCCTGCTACTGTTTCCACTTTTCGAGTTTCTGGAGGATGATTTTCTGGAGTCTGCAAAGAACCAAAGATAAAAATCCTGGGCTATTTCTCCAACTTCTAGGTTTGGATTGTCCTTCCAGACACTACAGTGAATGTCTGTTTAGAAAAGTATACTGTTACTTTAAAAAAAAGTCATTATTTATGTTAGAATATCCCTTTCTGCATTTGCTGCAGCTGATATTTTTGCTTTGGCTACAAATGGGGTATTTATTTTTGAGGTTTGTGGGATTAAGATCTGTTCCCATGAGAATCTCAGACACTGGGGGCTGTTGAGTGTATAGTATTGAGTGTCCCAGTTGAGACCATTAAAAAAATTTTTTTTTTCAAGTTTCTGTCCTTTAGGGACTTTTTGTCTTGTTTACTTCCATGAACTTAGGGACCATCTGGCCAACCTGGGGCTGATCTTGGATTTTGTAAACCTGCTTTTGCATAGTGGATCTTTCACTTACTCCAAACCTCAGTTTTTCCAACTGTAAAATAGGACTAAGGAACCACATGTGGCTGTCTCAGCAATGCTGGAAGAGCATACGCACATGCAGGTATACATCCTTTGACTCTCAGTTCACCCCCTGTGACTTAGATATCGTTCCCTTTCTTCCCAGAGCCTGTGGGTGTATATCTACCCTTTGTCCCTATGTGCTAATTGCTAACTTGAATCCCTTATTTTCTTTGGATGGTGAGCCTCTCGAACGCATGCATACTTATTTGTGTTTGTGTAGGTCATGCCTAGCACGGAGTCTGGAACTACTTTGTATCCAGATCTTCATGGAATAAATAAATGAATGCATGTGAATGAACGGCATGATCTCTGATGGAGAAATCTATCCTTTCTATTTTATAGCGATGACTACTCGGAGTACAGAACCAACACCAGGAATAGTATTAATGTTTGCTGAGGGTTTGCCATTTCAAGGCATTGTGTGATAGGTTTTACATGTACTACCTGGTTTAATCCTCACACGACCCTGTTATTATCTGCCTTTTACAGATAAAGGAGCTGAGGCTCAGAGACGCGAAGTGAGTCAGCCATGACTACGTGGACAGCACAAGATGAACATGGAATTCAAGTAAGTCCATTTGAATCCAGAATTTAAGATCTTAGTCGCCAGGCTGAGCCAGACCCAACGTTTGAAAAGCACCAGAATCTTCCGTCTTCTTGAAGAAACACATAAATTCGGTGATTCTACGTTAAATGTTCTATGTTTAGGCAATAGATATTATTAACACCTACTATTTGCTGGGCACTGTTCTTGTCATGTGGGACACATAGGAAGCGGGCACATATGTATCCAACTCATGGACTTTGCATCCTAGTGTGTGTGAGAACAGACTGTAAGCAAAGAAACTTACCAATAAACAAGACCACTTCTGATGTAAGAAAATAAAATACTGTAAAGTGAAGGTGGCGAGAGGAGACCGCCCGTCAGGAGAAGCCTCCTTATAGAGATGGTACAGCGGGGAAAGCAAAGCAACTGAGGGAAAGGCTGGCAACTGGAGTGAGCTTGGCTTGTGTGTTCCAAGGACAAGAAAGCAGCCTGGAGGGACTGAAGGGAACATGTTACACTTACGGTCAGAGACCCAGCAAGGATCTTATCATATAGGGCCTCAGGGAGTGATAGGGAGTCATTGTAGGATAAGTGGGGAAAGTGACATTAGATCACTGCACTGGACGGATTGCTTTTGCTGCTGATTGTTGTATAGATTATAAGAGCAAGAATGGAAATCGAGAGCCCGTATATGAGACTGTGGTTTTTGATTGAGAGATAATAGTGGCTCGCCTAAGAGAGTATAAGGGAAATGGAGATAATGGTACTTTAGTGTACTATTTTGAGAAGGTAGACTTTAAAGGAATTGCTTTTGGTTTGAATATAGGAAGTGAAAGAAAGAGGGAAATGAAGCCTGACTCCTAGATTTTTGTTCTGATCAATTGTGTGAATGGCGGTGCTATTTAGCTGTGATAGAGACGACTGAGTAGGTTAAAATAAAGTGCAGATAAATCAGATAAGATATTACCAAAAAAACCCACAGAATCAATCTTCCATGTAATTGAAACATAAAGTGGGTTTCAAAGGCTTTGTAAAGGACTTTGTCAAAACTGGAAATGGTGAAAACCTGCTAACGGGTACAGAGGGGTCTGAGGAGACAAAGATTGGATTCCCTGGGCCTCTTTAGAGAACTTCTCAATAGCTGAGTTGCACAGTAAACAATCCCATGGAGCCCCCTCGGCAGCATGGGGCAGGTGGTGATGCAAGGAGCTTGCTGCAAAGGCAAATGGAAACCAGGCGGCCAGAGCTCCCGTTCTAGCTGGCCCCTTAGCTGCTCAAACTGCCCGAGGGGGCGGCCAGCTGGAGGCCAGCAGGTTGAGGTCCGCTGAGCGCCTGACAGCCTCCTGTAGACATGAGCAGGTGCCCCACAAGGAGTCCAACAGCTTTGAGAGAGCAGGAGAAGCTGGTCTCCAAATCCCAACCTTCTGATATTCTACACTGTTCCTTTTCATCTGAAGCACCAACCTGTCTATTCCCACTCCACCCTGCTACACACGAATGTGACACCTACTTGGACACCTGGCTCTGGTTCATTTTGTCACCCTCTTCGTGTCAGCTGATACTTATGCTCTCTGACCCTCAATTTCTAAAGGATTTTTTGATAGGGTCATTTCCTAAGCTAACAATGTCACCATGATCATTTACGTAGTTTTATGAACAGCAAAAGGTGAAGTTTATAGTGATACCATTTTACTGGATTTTTCTGTTGTCCAAAACGATCCATGCCTCATGGTTTCCACATGGCGAGGGACTTTGTTACAAAAGGTATAGAGGCTCAGTCATTCAACTGTGGCACAGAGCATGTGGGGTAAGGAGTGGAGTCGAGGGAACGGGAAATGGGGCTTCTACCCGGCAAAGCCTCAGCCTGGAGAGCTCACCCCACCGTTTGCACCACCTGCAACACACCAACCACAGAAAGGCTCCCACCGCCCTGGGCCTGACTGCTATTTTAATTTTGTTAAGTGTATTGGGGTGACATTGGTTACTAAGATTATATAGGTTTTAAATGTACAATTCCATGATACATCATCTGTATATTGCACTGTGTGTTCACCACCCAAAGTCAAATCTCCATCTATCACCATATATTTGACCCTCTTTGCCCTCTTTTACCCCCTCACCCTGTCCCTCTGGTAACCACCATACTGATGTGACTGTCATCTTTATCTCCAGCCCCGGGGGCTGTGCTGACCATAGGCCCAGCAGGCCCTCCCCTGAGAGAGGGGCTCACGGGCTGCGTGGACATACTCAGCCTGTAGTGGGCAGGGGACTTCCTTGGATGGGACAGGTGGCCCTGCCCAAGTGCTCTTCATCAACCTGTGCTGGACATGGTTTCTGAAGGCCTAGCATTTCAGATTTTTTTCAATATGAACCCAATTTAACTTTCCAGGCTTATCTGCCAGTGTTCTAACTAATTAACGAATTATTTATTAAAACATTTGTTGGATACTCACTTAATAACAAGCAATGGACTGGGGCTGGTGAGAAAACAGTGAGTAACAGCATCAGGGTCATGGCCCTCATGGCGTTTCCAGTTTAGTGGGGTACAGGCAGAAATAAATTGAATCCCTGAGGTGCACAGGCCATAAGAGCTTATAAAGGGAGAATTAACCTGGTCATTCAAATCTGTGAAGAGTTCCCAGATAAAACTATGCCCACAGATAATAGAAAATTAGTTTTGAATACTGCTGAAAAGCCAAGGCAAAGCACACTCATGAAGAAATGACTTTAAGTGACAGTGAGGAAAAACCTGCTAAAAACTAGCAGGTTTCCACACTCATAAGCACCTCCTGTTCTGCTCTGTGAACAGAACCTGTTCCTGCCCCAGGGCCTTGACTCAGGTGATCTTGCTTATTAGGATCTCAGGGTGGGGTCCTTCACATTCTTCCCACAGTCACCTTTCCCTGACCCCCTTGGCCAAACGAGCTCCCTGCTTATTATTTTTTCTCACGACACCCTTTTATTTTCTTTATATGTAATCATCTTGGTTTTTCTTCTATTGATTTGTTTATGGACTGACTTCTCCAGTAGAGTGTAAGCTCCCAGAGGCTGGCTCCTGCCTCTTTTGTTCGCATCACCAGCATCTGACCCATGTTAAGAGCTCGATAACTGTTGCCAAAGGAAAGAGGGTAATGAAGATAAATATGTACCCATAAATAAAAGATGGTGGAAGGTAAATGTATGCATGAGAAGGTTCATTCTATTTTGAGTTAATTGATTTGGCAGAAAGTTAACTATGTTACAGTCCCTTAACATAGCAAACTTTCCTTAAAATTCCCCCAAAGAGGAAGCTGCTACTCAATTTTCACCAATTCTTTATTGAAGAGAAGAGATATATGTTGTTGTTTGCGTAATCTGAGGTTCATTTTTAAATGTAAGCCCCCAGACACTTATTTTAAAATGCACAAATAAATAAGAGGAGATTAATAGATAGAAAGGTAGATAGATAGAAAAGTTTACTAACACGTTCAAGTTGAAATTTAGGTGATGGGTTGTACAGATGTTCACTGTAAAATTCCTTCAACATTGCTGTCATTGCTTCTTATTGGTAGAGGAAACCTTCAGGGAAGGGGTCCCCGTGCGTCCTTGGGGTTCACGCACCTGGAACACTGGGACATGCCAACGTCGCCCACAGGGAAGCAGGAAGACAGCGCACATCCCCCAGCCCCCGGAGAGGCGACGACGGGCACATCGGCCCGGCGCCCCGCTTCATGTCTTGTAGCACACGTCTGCCCAGAGGGCTGAGGATTTCCTCAGTGAGAGGAGTGAACAAAACCATCGGGAGGTGACCCCTAAGGTAGGAGTTGCTACTCCATGGGACATTTGCTCTTTACTTGGTTCAGGGCCATGTTGTGATTTCCAGAGATATGTGAAAAATATCTCTCTGTGTTGTCCAGTGAAGGGAGTCAAATACACTGAGGTGTTTTTTTTTAGCAGGTGAGACCTCCTTTCCTTGATGGAGGAGATCGAATTTTTCTTTCATTTATTCTCTTCTGTATTCCAGACCATCACCTACTCTTTTCTCTAGTCTTTGGTTTTAAGCTCCTCTGAGATTCTACAAGAGAAAGCGTGCAACTGTACACCAACCCCTCCGATAGCTACCTACCCATCCTATTTTATAATGTGAAAGATACTTTTCTAGTCTCTGGGGGGACAGCAATGAATAGGAGAGAGGTGGGTCCTGTCCACGTGGAGTTCCTGGTCTACTGGGAGATACATATTGAAGAATTTGTGACCTAATATGTTATTTAGTCATGATTGTGATAAAGGTCACGAGTGAAGAGAGTCAGGTGCTGCAAGAGCATGTGACTTAGTCATGGGGGTCGGGGAAGACTGGGAGAAAGAAGCATTTGGGATGAGCCTTGGAGAGTGAATGGGAAAGGGCAGACGGTGGGTTGGAAGAACATTCTAGGCAGAAGAAAGGTGGCAAAGGAAATGAAATAGCAAGGGGTGGGTGGTTATGTAACAGATGAATGGAGGGCAGATATCTGGAGGGCAGAAGGAGGAGAAGGTGAGTGGTAGAGTCTGAGACCTGAGCACGAGGCAGGGGTCAGATCAGAACAGGCCTGGCCTTGTTGGCTTCATTCAAGATACTATCGTGTTTTTGCTTGTTTTTTTTCCCCCCCAATCCTAAAAGGAAAAGAAAGTTATTATACCCAGATCACTGGCTGTTAGTCTGACCAGCACAATGCTCTCTAGGGAACTGTGAATGCTTTGGGATGGGTATGAATTTTCAGTTCCCACAAGCCTTGCCATTCTCGGTCAGCTACCCCTGGGGTCAGTCTACGGGAGATCAGTCACCCCTGCCCAGTTCACACAGTTATGTCCCACTGGACCCTGCAAGCATCTTAGTTTGCAACCTGGACCAGATGATTTGAGAGTCCCTCCCACCACTGGAGTTGTCAAGCATGCAAAGGCTCTGTAGGGGACACAAGGACAAGCAATACATAGCCCTGGTTTTAAGAAGCTTGAAATTTGGTAGGGCAGCAAGGCATTTTCACTAAGAAGGACCTAGAAGGCAGGGAGTAAATGGTAAGAAAGATGATCACTGCTGTTGTTGATGCTGTTCATGTCCGTGCTGGGCATGCAGGAGCTGCTTCAGAAATGGTTCTTGGGTGAAGGAGTCGCAACCCAGTGAATAGTCTGGGGATCAGCAGTGAAGAAAAATGAGAGCTGTGAGTGGAGGAGACTCTGTTATTACCTGGCAATATCCCCGAACGCCTTCAACATGGGCTTGTTCACACACTGCAGTCCATGCTTGGCACACAAGGACCTCACCAGAGGTGCCACCTTGTGGTAATTATGGCGAGGCATGGTGGGGGACAGACTAGGGAAATGGAAAGGGGGGATATAAAACTTAGACCTTCAGAGCAGCCGGAAAGAGTTTTCTTTCCCCATTACTAAACAAAATTATGTCAGCAACGCAGATCCAACTGTAACTTTGCCCAATACTTCTGGCCCAGGAAGTTAAAAAACTCTGGCTAAACATTCCTATCTCTAAACCTTCTGTGAGCACTGCGGTTGGCAATGTTTGGGAAGAGCTAAGAAAATAAATATTAGCTCCATCAAAAATGTTTATATTTGGCCAGCTCAAAATAAAGTATGGAGTTTTCTATCATTCTGAACCACCTAGAGAGCTGGAGACAGCCACCCTCCATCTCTGCCTCTCGGCCTGTGCCTCTATCCATCTAACTCCTGCGTCGTGAATAGATGAGTTTCAGTAAGCTCTAGTCATGGCATATGGGGAAAATCCCAGAACAGGAATAAAAAGTGAGGAAAGATGGGTTTTTATCCAACTTTAATTTATCAGCCAGATGACTTTCTTGGGTTTTTACCTCCTCTTTGATAAAATATAAATAATTATAATAATATAATTATTACAATAATTGTCTTGTTTTGCTGGGATTTTAAAGACCTAACATGAAAGAAAGGGTAAGAAAATCCTATAAATAGGTATGAGATCTCTTTCCTTCTCTGACTATCATAGAAATGGCTCAGACAAAGAGAATGTGGAAAGTCTCACCCCTGAGTATTCTGGGGAGATGAACTCCCAAAGGATTACCATTTACTCTTCCTTTGGGGCATGTCCGCCTAACTGATACCATTTGGAAGTGGCAGCAGAGACTGGATTTTATTGTTGATTATTTTGTAACCTCAGCTCTAAAGATACAGATACAGATAAGCGTTTAAATTAAATTACAATTAAGTTTCAACCCAACGTGGTTACCCAGGTGGCATGATTTTTCTTGGGTTTTGCCAACAAACCAAATGCAAAGAAAACAATCAACAGTTTCTAAATCCATGGGAATCTGGAAGCTAAATCGCTGGTATTTTCCCAGGACTTCACTCTATTTACTCACAGTTGTTTATACCGCCTTCTTTTCTTTTCTTCCTTCCTTACCCTGATGTTAGTGGAAAGACAGCAGCCTTTGGAGAATTCTGGTTCGTTTTTTCCCTCTGAGCTCCCAAGCCCATGGCCCTGCTCTGGACTGCACGGGGGCTGTTATCAGTCAGAGCCCATGCCCCGATCAGGACCTTTTCTGTCACTCACTGATGCTTGATTTGGAAGTTCAGGTGCCCAGTGAACCAGTCGTTAAAAAGGACTGTTCAACATTACAGGTTGCCAAAACCTGCAAAGAAAAAGTTTACATTAGCTGTCAATAAGCTCAAGGGCCAAGCAGAGAAAATGTTTAGTTGTGTTTTTTTCCCCCCAGTCCATCATTCAACAAGTGCTCATTGAGTCCCTCTTTTGTATAAGAAACCTTGAGGAATAAGAAAGGTAGATGGTCCCAGGTAAATGTCTCGCAATTTAAAACAGCAATAAGACATTTTGCTAAGAAGTATATATACAAGGCACTAGCTAGGAAGCAGTGTATAGAATTTGAGGGGCTTAGTCACCGTCAGCCCTTGGCTACAGAAGACTGAGGGGTCGCCAATGAGGACCGTGGCAGGTGGGTGTGAGTGCAGGACTGTGGGAGAGGTGGTAGGGGTTAGAACACCGCTTCCACAGAGTGGACTCGAAGGCCTGCTCAGTGGGGAGGAAGGCACTCAAGGATTTTAACCAAGGGTTCTGTGCGTAGAAACAGAAGTGCATTTGATGTAAGTACTTCCCTTTGTAATTGAATGTATTTTATTTTATGCATTGAAAAGTATTATCCTGAGGAGTTTGTAGGCTTCTCCAGACAGCGTAGAGTAAGATCCCTTGTGAATGTTATTTTATTCAAGGCCTTTCTAAGGTTTAATTCCAGTTGAGGTTGTTGCCATTTTGAATATTGCTTTCGTGGTTGTCCTATGTCAGTGTTTCTCAAGGTGTTCTTCAGAAAACCTTGGGGCTCCCCCGGACTTTTTCCAGGGGATCTTCAAGGTCAAAAGTATTTCTGTGATACTTCTAAGACATTTTCCGCCTTTTCATTCTCATTCTCTTATGTTTGTACAGTGGATTTTCCCAGGGCTACTTACATGGGGTGGCACCATCATTCTCATGCTAGTATGTATTGGTTTGATTCTTATATTAATTAATAATAAGTTAATTAATTCAAAAACATTTTTAAGTGTCTCTGTTTTAATTTCAACTACAGTAAATATCCATGAATATAAATAACCTACATAAACACAAGTTCTTTCAGGTTCTCAGTAACTTTTAAGAGTGTCAAGGGGTTCTGTGACCAAAAAATATGAGAACCACTACTTGATGCCCTATGGAGGGTTCACTGAACTCGGAAATGAGCTTGGAGAAGGAATTAGAATTGTGACTGGATTCTCCAGTCAATCCTGGAACAGCAGGTGGAAGGCTGAGGAGGCTGAGCTGATCAAAACTCCGAATCATTCACAGATGCTTGGAGAGCATGTCATGTCTCCTCACCAAGCCTCTCTACAAAGAAATGAGGTGCATTCCAGTGTCTTTCTGGGTGTCAGATTCATTGTGTAATTCTAGGAAGGCTGTGTCATGTGGGTCAGCAAAACTTTTATGTAAAGTACGAAGCAGCACATATTGTAATTCTCTGTCACAGCTACTTAATTCTGCTGTTGTAACCTGAAAGCATTCATAGATAATATAAAAAAATATATGAACATGGTTGTGGTCTAAGAAAACTTTATTTACAGAAATAGGCAGTGGGTCAGATTTGGCCCTTGAACTGTATTACTGACCCGTGGTTTAAAGCAAAGGCTGTGAAGTCAAACTGCCTGGGTTTAAAGCCTGCTGTACCACTTATCAACTGTGTGATCTTCTGCAAGTTACTCAGCTTCCTTGTGCCTCAGTTTTATCATCTGTAATGTGGGAATAATCATAGCACCTGCCTCATGTAGTTATGTGCAAAGCAGCTGACAGTGCCTGGTCTCTGGCAAGCACTGGGTAAGAATGAATTCTTCTTATAGGAGGTAACCAGACTCTAAACCAGTACGCTCTGAAGGATCCTCTCCCAGGAACGTCATTATTACCTGAGTACTGACCCAGTCTCTGTTCTCCTCTACGCTCATCTTCATGGATACGTGGCTCATCTGTGAAACAAATGCAATCCAGGGACTTTCCAGAAACCTTTTGGAGAACAAAAGGAGAAATTGATGACTCCTTGAGGTGTCACAGTTCCAGTCACTGGGCTTATGTATTGGAGGAAGTTCAAAGGACTCCAAGGTACCAGTAACATAGTGGTCATTTATTTTCCTCTTTGGAGGCCTTTATATCTAGAAATGACACATGAAGCATTTGGTCACTGACCTATCTTGCTGCCTCATGTGCAGAAGCAGTGCCCTGGTTTGCTGTGGCATTGGTGGAAGGTTCAAAAGAGACCTCGGTAACTTCAGGGCATGTGCACAGTGATTGACAGCCTGGGCTTTGTCGTCAGGTCCTGGTTTGGCACTGCCACTGGACCTTACCAGCTCTATAGCCTTGGGCAAGTGATTCGATCTCTGAGCTTCAGCTGCCTTAGCAGCAAATGAAGATGCTGTCTACATTGTAGGATTGTAGGAGAATTACGTCAAGCAAGATAACATGCGTCAGGACTTTAGCAAAGTGCCTAATGCATGTTAGCTCTCCTTACCCTTATTATGATGTCGGATTTAGAATAATAAAGTGAAATAACGAGGGGGAGATAAATTGGGAAGTTGAAGAAGGCTATTTAATGGGAAGTCATTTTAGTTTCTGGAAAATCTCTAGTCATATAATAACTTGAAAAAATTTCATCTCTTCTATTATCTTGGGCAAGGATTATGATGTTCAATTGGATTTCAGTTTAAAAAGAGGTGAGGATCAGGTGATATACTGCAATTGGGAATTAAACAAGTGATGGGGGGAAAGAGAAGATCGGGCAAAGTTTTTTTCTAAGGAGCTCTTCTTACTCAACTATTTCAACTTAATAAATTTTTTTTTTACATTTTCTTGGAAATGTCTCGATTATAGAGAATGGGGCATGGTGTCATAATCTGATGTTAATCACAAATAGATTTGATAAGGAAGGTATGAGGACTATCTAGGTTACAGTAACAAGAGGACATTCTTGCTTTCTTACTTGACCAAAGTAATGAGCAGTATGGTTCCAAAGATTCCATAGAAAGGGCCGAATGTGATGAAGTAGCAGATGTAAAAACTGCTGACCTAGGCAATTTCCTGCAGAGAGAAGTGCTTGAAAGTTAGATGCCCTGAACACAACTTCATTTTCCCTTCATTGGGCTAGGGTCCCTTCACATATGGGGCAAGTCCTATGTCTCATTATTCAAAGGAGCTCTGTCTGGAAGGGCCCAAGCATTTTCATTTCCCATTTTCTACTTGATTTAGCTTCAGAGAATGAGTGGAACTACTCACCCCCCAATACCTTCTGAGGTACATCAGTTGCGTGGATTGCAGGGTGAGATACACAGGTATAAGGAGTGGAAGCCCAACTGAAAAACACACAACAATAACAGAGATGGTGAATAAGTGAATGTGTCCCCAGTGCAAGTCAGCAGGGTCAACACGCCACCTGCAATGTTGCCTCTGAGAAGGGCAGCAAGCTTGAGATCCAAAGCTGGGACTTCTGAGTCTCTGATGCTGAGCCAGGAATTTGGTTCAATCTCCCTCAAAGAGACTAGGGTAGCTTTTAAGATGTGAGTCATTCTTGATGGAGGTACCCTAAAAGAGCTTCTGCTGCGAGCTTTTAAGTTATCTCAAGGTCTGTGGAAACCTTCTATCCTTCGGTCTTTAGGATTGGGCCCTGTCACAATATGCCAAGGCATATTCTTTTATGGCCAGAGAATTATTTACCTGCTTCTCCCCCAGGGTCAGTGCGGCTAGAGCATAAACGAATCTCATGGAGACCCTTTGGGTTTTGACAAATTCTCTCCTTGACCACACTTTAGTCAGTTCTTCTGATCCCTCTTCTAGATTAGGCTTTGTGCTGGCCTGAAAATTCTCAAACTCTGCAAACTCTCAGCACAAATGATTTCATCCATCCCATATACTAAGAAACTTGAACAAACACTAGCATAGTTTCTAACAGCTCAGGGCCACATCCCTGGGATGACCTTACTTAGAGCATTTATGTTAGAAATCTTACAATTGTAAATGCTTTCTCTGTTCTCTGAGATGTATCTTTTATGACAATGAAATGTCTTCCTTAAGGACCTGAGAATCATCCATTTGAAATATGATCTTGAAGAAGGTGAGGGCCGTCTCCTAGCCTCTGTGGGAGGGTAGGAGCTCAATTTCCATATGCACCGGTTAGCAGGCACAGATGGCCTAAGCAGATTGACCAGTTTCCCCTCCCCTCAGCATCTTTCAGTAATTTCCTTTAGCATGCACCAAGTTTAAAAAGTGCCCACTTTTTGTTCCAGCAGAGTTGAGCTCAGTTTATACTGAAGCAGTAGCCTGAATAAACTCTATCTTGCCATCCTGAAAAAATGTCCAGCTCTGTTTCTCTTTGACAGTTTGAGCAGGACTCATTTATACCTGAGATGCTGAGAGCGCATTTGAAGGGAAAGGACACAATGAAACAGCCCCTGTGGGCAGTGTGGCTTGTGACAGGGGGATTCTGCAGTGAGCCCATGCCATTCATTCATTCTTCATAAGCTAAGGGTGTATTGCTGCATGAAAGATGGGAGGAGAGTTCGGAAAAGAAACTCTTATGTGAGCACACATCTAGGTAGGTTGGGGACCAGCTACCTTTCAAAATGGGGCACCAATGTCCTCATTCCTCTTTTCGGTTGTGCAAGAGAAGGAGCAGGTGACTCCCATAGACGGGCTGCAGTGGAATGAAATCCCTATCTCTCCAAAAACTGGCCCACAGACCATCTGGTCGGGCATGTTACAGATAACCACTGGCAGCCAGCATTTGGGCATATCAGGTAATCTGCAACAGAGTTTCTCAGCCTTGGCCCTGTTGGAATTTTGGGCCAGATAACTCTTTGCTGTTAGGGGCTGTCCTGTGTATTGTAGGATGTTTAACAGCATCACTAGCTTATACCTCCTGGATCCAGTAATCCCTCTCCCTCTGTGATGATAACCAAAAATATCTCTTGACATTGTCAAATGTCCCATTGGGAGTAACATTGCTCCTGGGTGAGAACCACTGATCTACAGGAAATGTTTGGAACCTCCCCTGATTTTGGTTTATTTTCCAAATGTTTTAGATGAACATATTTGTGGTTCCATGAAACCATTTTTTTTTGGTGAGCGATCATGGGTTTGATTTTGTTTAAGAGCAAAGCATTTTGCTTCTGATGTTTTTTATTAGTACTATGATTATGTAGCTATCCTATTTTCTTTTAAGCCTGGACCCACATCCCACATTTGCACCCATTATCTATTATCTATCTATCTATCTATCTATCTATCTATCTATCTATCTATCTATCTATCATCTATCTATATCATCTATCTATCATCTATTTATATCTATCGTCTATCTATCATCTATCTATCTATCTATCTATCTATCTATCTATCTATCTATCTATCTATC